GCTTTTTTTCATCGGCATCTTTCTTCGCCCTTCCCCCCTCCACCTGCTGTATCGTTTTGTTTCCCTCTTCACCTTTCCCTACTTCTTCTTCTTCTTTTTATGGAAATCTCATCATCATCTTCTTCTTCTTCTTCTTTGACCTCGCCTTTCTCTTTGTTATGTACCTCCTCTACCCCCGTCTCGATCTCCCTCCTTCCGTTCCTCTTCTCCCTCCTTAGAGGTTATTCTGATTATCAAATTTCGGTTCGTCTTCTTTCTCGTTTTCTATGGTTGATGCAATTTATGACTTCGAGAATTAGGATTCTACCATGAAATGTGAGGATAAGATGTATAAATGCATTTCTTTAAATTTGCCTCGGGGAATAGGCTTCCGCCCCCCTCACCCCCCGCCCTGTCTTACCTTCACATGCGTTTATTTCTTCGACAAAACGGCCCTTCTCACCCTCACCGCAAATGGGCGTACGAAATGGTTTTACCCCGCTTCCACGCCTTGCACCTTACCCGCAGTGTGCCGACACGTATGGTCAGAGCAGCGCGAGTATGACGTATCGTACTCACGCATGACTCATGTGACACACACATGCTACACACACACACACATACACACATACACACACACACACACACACACACACACACACACACAATGTCGGCGGACGTAAAAAACATTATCACTCGCTCGTTGTGCAACAATCCCCCTCAGTGGCAGTGGCACTCCGACTCCTCCCTACACTGTCTCCACTGCGCGACGATCTCCCTCACCAACCACAGGTCACCATACCCCACCTCGCCCTACGTGCAAATGATACCTGAGCCTTGCATGGCTGATTACTTTTGCATGCACATACGCTCGGTTGCGACAATCAGGTTGCACACGCACCCCGACCACACTATTTTCCCTCAGCCCCTGGCCCCACGTCCCTCCACTGCTGGCGGTTTTTTTCTGCCCGCCTTGGCCTGGGCCTCACCCATGCACCGGTTCCCCTATCCGGTTCCACCCCTCCACGGGTTTCCCTTGGGCCCATGATCAAGCATGTCGGTGGGACCTTTACAACTTTCAGCAGTATAGAAATAGAGAAAAAAAGATGTAAAAAATGTTGTGCTGCTATACACATTCTGTGTGTGTGTGTGTGTGTGTGTGTGTGTGTGTGTGTGTGTGTGTATGTGTGTGTATGTGTATGTGTGTGTGTGTGTGTGTGTATGTGTGTGTGTGTGTGTGTGTGAGTATGTGTGTGTGTGTGTGTGCGTGTGCGTGTTAGCATGCGCATGTCACATGCATTTCGCACGAGCACGACACGTCATGCTCGTGCTACTCCGACCAAAAGCGTCGGCACACCGTGAGCAAGCAGCTAGACGCGAGAGGCGAACTTCAAACGCGACGAGGTAAAGCCACATGGTATGTCCATTTCGTGGTGAGGGTAACAACGAGGTTGTTTACTGGGTGAAGTTCGACCAATCTAGCGCAAGTGGCGAACAGAACTGAGGGGGGTAGGGGTGCTTCATATCGCAAGGGGGCAACGACCAAACCAATCGCATATATGTCCAAAACATAGCTTCGAAAAAAAGGAACAATTCTATCGACCATCATATAATGCGTACATCATCCATTCGAATGACAAATTGTAAGACATGAAGGAAACAACGATCCATGAAGCATAGCATCTGGCAATATTCCAGGAGATTGGCCCATTTATCCATAGAAAATCGATAGCACTTGGAGAAAGACGAAAAACCGACAACCAGGAAGCAACCATTGTGAGGAAGGATAAAACTACAAATAACGCGTAGCATTATTCCAGAAGATTGGCCCATTCATCCATACGAAATCGAGAGTACTTTGAAAAGGACGAAAGAACAGCAATCATCCACAAGAAATCGAAAGCACTTTTGAAAAAGACGAAAGAACAACAGTCATTGCAACACAACGTTTCAAAAAATCAAGAAAATTCAGCTCCTTATTCTAACCGGGAAGGATTACGTCGCCCATCTCGCTCCTCTACTATCAAACGATTGCAGGGTTTCAGGGGGATAGAAGGGGAGATCGGGGAAGGAGGAAGAGGAAAAAGGAAAGGAGGGAAGGGAAACGAAGGAGGGGGAGAGGGAGAGGGCGCGGGGAAAAGGAGAAGGGAAGGGGGAGGGGGATATCCAGCTTAAGCTCTTTCCTCCAGATCAACGCATTCCTGCAGCTGAGTGGATCATCTCGCCGAATCGCGGGAAGGGTGTGGCAGCTCCCTAAAGCGCTTTTCTGCCCCATGCCACGTGCGGAGTCATCAGAGGGTGGGACATCTTCCAGGGTCCCTGGAAGGCAGGGGGGTGATGGTAGTGGTTGGGTTATGGACGGGGGTGCATTGTGATAGGGATGATGGGGGGTTGCAGGACCGGGGGACGAGGGGCGGGGGATGGGGGAGGGGGGTGGAATGGGGATGCGGGAGGGGTTGGGGAATGGAGTAGATGAAGTAGAGGAAGGCAAGGAAGGAAAGCAAAGAGAGAAAGGCCAAGAAGGCGCATGCGGACGCCTCCGTCATAGTCCTGTGCTCCATGGCGCCGCTCCGCGCAGTATACTACATCTAACTAACAACCACGTCCACCTCCTGCACCCAGCACGAAGAAGAGGCAGCAGCAACTGGTGAGAAAGATGGCCACGAAGCACATCGTGCAGGCGATCAGCAGTGCGAAGCGCTTAGCCGATAGTCGGAGGAAGATGCCCTCGGACAGACAAGTGGTTAGCAATGCGCCGGCTATGGCGAGATTAGGCAGAAGAGCGAGGAAGAGGAGGAGGGCTGACGCGGCGTCTCGCGCTGGTGCGGAGGGGGGTAAGCAGGGCAGAGCACGCTCAGCAGGGCAGGTAGCGTCGGTATGCATGTCGCCTGGCCTCGGAATACTCAGGCGTCGGGTTACGAGAGTAAAACCGGGAAGGTGCCGACCGCTAGGAATGTTATCACTTCCTCCACCTCCGACTGCTCCTCCTCCAGGTCCCAATCAGCGAAGAAATCCATGTCGCCTGCCACCTCGCTCAATCCCTCCGCGAATGCGAAAACCGAACGCCCCGGTCTGTCGTCAGAACCATCAACCGTATGGTGCTTCGATGAATAGTGCCCAGGGGTTTTATTCTGATATAGTGGCGGAGTCCGTCAGGGAGTCGTTGCCTTACGATACAAGCTATTGTCCCTATCCATCCATTCATACGCATCTATCCTACAACTGAAAGGCGAACCTGGAAAAAGAAAAAAAGGGAGACAAGAAAAAAAGAAAAAAGAAAAAAGAAGAAAAGGAAAAAGAAGACGAAAGGATAAAGAAAGGGAAAGGGAAC